AACTCATGGAGTCATGGTTTGTGACAGAAGATGTTGTCAACATAGAAATAGAAGACCACGAGCTAATTGACTTGGCCGAAGAAGAGCAAGAACCAATTTGGGGAGACGCCGAGATCATAGCTGAGATACGAAGCCAAGCAAAACGCAACACAAAGCTCAATGAACTTATTCAATTATGTATTGATATGCCAGAATCAAGACACCTCGAAGGCTATAGCACCAATGAAGGACTACTGTACAGACAAGGAAGAGTATTAGTACCTGACGATGCTAATCTAAAACTACAAATTCTGCGATCCAGGCATGATAGCCAAATAGCAGGTCACCCCGGCCGGTCGAGAACGCTAGCACTAGTGAAGCGGAATTACCACTGGGCATCAATGAAAGCCTACGTAAATAAGTATGTGGACGGTTGCCAGTCCTGCCAAAGGGTGAAACCAAGAACGTCAAAGCCATTTGGATCTCTACAGCCGTTACCAGTACCGTATGGTCCCTGGACAGACATATGCTATGATATGATAACTGATCTTCCAATATCTAATGGCTATGATTGTATTCTAACAGTGGTTGACAGACTCACTAAAATGGCGCATTTTATAGGTTGCAAGAAAACTATGGACTCAGATGAACTAGCGACAATCATGATCAAAAACATCTGGAAGTTGCACGGAACCCCGAAAACAATAACTTCAGACAGAGGAAGTGTATTTATATCAAGAATCACAAAAGAAGTCAATAAAAAGTTAGGCATAAAGACGCAGTCGTTGACGGCTTACCACCCCCAAACGGACGGTCAATCTGAGATAACAAATAAAGCGGTTGAAGGCTACTTACGACATTACACTTCGTACATGCAAGACAATTGGCACTCCCTATTAGCTATGGCAGAATTTTCTTACAATAACAGTCATCATGCTTCTATTGGCATGTCCCCATTCAAAGCTAATTACGGATTCGATGTTTCATTCACAGGACTACCAGACAAGGAACAGTATCTACCAACAGTGGAAGAGCGATTCAAGCAAATCAATGAGGTGCAACTCGAATTGAAGAGTGCAATGGAAGAAGCGCAAGGAGTGATGAAAGTTCAATTTGATAAGAAGGTGACTCAAACCCCGGAATGGAAAATTGGCGAAAAGGTCTGGTTAAATAGCAAGCACATAGCTACAACGAGACCATCCGCAAAGTTTGCGCACCGGTGGCTAGGTCCATTTTCAATCTCAGAAATAATCACAACTAACGCATTTAAATTAAGCCTGCCAGATTCAATGAAGAACATTCACCCGGTGTTTCATGTAAATTTATTAAGAAGACATCAAGATAGCGAAATCTCAGACCAAACAGATCAACCACCACCGCCAGTAGTAATTGAAAATGAAACTGAATATGAAGTTAATGAAGTGTTGGATAAAAGAAAACAAGGAAGAAAGTTGCAGTATCTGATCAATTGGAAAGGGTATGGACCCGAACACGACTCATGGGAACCAGAGGAAGGCCTCAAGAATGCACAAGAAGCAGTTACCAAATTTAATAGTAGATTTTTAGGTAGAGAGAAGACTTACAGAAAGGCACGGAGAATGGTGAGAGGGTGAAGCTTTTTCCCCACGTGGGTTTTTTAATGCAAACCTGTGGAAAGATGTCTAGCTCAGCAAAAGGGAGCGGAGGCATAAAGGGGGGAGTGGTGTTATGAGCCTTTACGAGTATTATGCTTATACTCTATATATGCTTGTATCAAACCTCAGTTGTACTTATCTCTCTCTCGTCAGAGATTTACCAGTCTTCACGTTGCAATCTCGTAATAGTACCTGAAGGCCCTTTTCTCTCAGACTCTCGACAAGATCCTATTGAGCCTCTAACACCGCCCCATGGCTCAAGGATGTGCCATATTCAAAGCTACTTGAAAATTCAACATTGTGTCACACACCACAAGAACAGTTGGGTATGATAGCATGTGTCCGCAATTAAGCAGAGAGTGATGAGTCTATATTTATTAGAGCACCCACTATGGGTGCGTTAACGAGGTGATTTAGCGTTACCGTAACGCTAAAATCCAGACAGGTCCACTACGGACCTGTTTTAGACATGCAGTCCGTACTGCTGCGTTAAATCTTGCACCCCGCGTGCTCAGATCTACGCAAGCCTACGACTTGATTTATCGTACGATAATCGGTCAACAACTGCCTTTTCCAAAACATCAAATCCCAAACTCCACAATTCAAGACTTCAAATCTCAACGTTCAGACCTTGACACCTCAACTTCAAAGTTCAAACTTGAAAACTTATATAGTTTCCGAGCACGTTGAGTGCAGTCTTGATAAGTCTCGATCAATTCAGATTTGAGTGCGAGGAAGCGGAGGTGGTATGCGAGGTTTATCAAACAAGAAGTCAAGACTAGTTGATGTTATTATTGTTGTTCCTATTGCTATTTGAAGACTTCTGAGATAATTGATCTTTGGGAAAAGATTATGAGGAATGTGATGATTCATTTCAAGATCATACCACTGTGGATCTGGTTGACTCACAGTGATTTATCGTTGGTAAATCAGGTCGTAAAGCAGCTCATAGTGGTTTTTATGCGTTTACTAATTTAGTTGTTACACGCATGATTAAATTTCGCGGTCGGGACCGCAAAATTTACGATAAAACACGCCCACCATAGTGGGTGCTCTTAGGGTGTATGGAGTGAGGATGTCCAGGCTGAGCCACAATATCCACTGTGGTGCGGCTTGAAATCAAAATGAGATGGTAGGGCTTTGTACACTGGTCCAATCATGATACTGGACTAACATATTTTTTGATGTTGGTTAGACATGTGTCCAATGTCCTTGTGGCATCCTCACAAGTGACTTTGCTCCAATGCCGCCAAAGACATTGGGGGATGTCTGGTTCCACATAGGCTGGGAGACCTGTATCTAATCAAGTTCAATTTGAGTTTGAGTACAGGATGAATGGTCTACAGTGGTGGGGTGCAACACTCAGGCAAATGGGGGCTGGTACACTGTGGTACTTTCAAGGTGATATGGACCAGATAATAGGGAGTTAAGGGCGACATTGAGTGACTAATTTTGATTGTGCAAACCAAAAAGAATCAAAATTCAAAAATTAGAGAATAAGAATGGGAATTAGAAAAAAACAAAAAACAGTGTACACTCATATTAAAGGAGAGTTGTGGGAAGAAAGACACTGATCTAAGTGAGTATGATAAAATCCTGTCACACAGATAAAACAGGAAAGGAAATTTTGAATACATATATTGAATGGCTCACCTAAATGAGATTGGTCCTCCAAATTGGGAGGGTTCATCTGAATGGGTGAATAAACATGAATGAAAGTGATTGGAATTAGACAGGAGAGATGTTGATGGTAGAGTATGAAGAAAGGGAAAAAAATCAAGTCCAAAGGTTGTGAAGGCAAAGAAAGAGGAGAAAGAAGGAGAAAGTGCAAACAGGAATCCTTCAGTGCACAAGTGCAAGTAGCTTTAGGTCCTTTCACACATATTTTTTGTTTAGATCTCAGGCCCTGCCAAGGCCTGAAAAAGGTGTGCAACATATCTCATGTTTCTCTCTTTCTTGCCATATCTTTGACAGCCAAAAGTTTTAAGCTTAACTAAGCCTCCCTTCTGACACAGCCATGTCCACTCCCAAAGAGGGGTTTAGGGCTTATACCCCAACTTTGGCCTGAGACCAGCAGGATTTTCCAGCAATTTTGCGTGAAATACCTTTTTAAGAGCTCTAAACATTGTACACTCTTACAAATAATTGAAAAGAGCTACTTATAAGACTTCACTGCCAACATATTTGCCTCGGGTTGAGAAATCCGAGGCATCATCGAGTGTATATCCTCGGATAAATCCTGTCCGAGGTTTCAATCCGAGGCAATCTTATGCGTCATGAAATGGCTCGGATCAAATCCTCAGACAAGAGCTGTCCGAGGGTTTAGACCCGAGAATACCTCGGATCTCACAATCCGAGGTATAGTGCTTGTACGCATGCTTGTGCCACCTTTACCACCACTTCATTTGAACAAAGTCACACAGTCAAGTTGTTGAATTCTTGTAACTCTGGGTCCACATGTGCACTAAACCCTTCAGAATCACTTGATATTGGAATCAACTTTCCCCACAATCTAGAAGTGGTGATAGGCAAGAAATAGTACAAGGAGAAGCAGAAGCGCCAATTAAAGAAGCTCTGCTGAATCTATTGCAAGGTTTCACAACTTTTAGAGCCCTCAAAAAGGGATTTCAAACAAAAGTGCTTGAAATTCTTGCTGGTCTCAGCCTGGCCAAAGTCGGGGTATAAGCCTTAAGCCCATCTTCAAGAGCGAACGTGGCCGCGTTGGAAGAGGGCTTAGTCAAGCTTAGACAGCCAAGACACAAAAGATATCGTGCGGATGAATGTCTTTGCGATCACAGCACGAGCTCATCTGTGAGCATGCCGACGCGATATCGCACCTGCCAACGTGCTGAGTCCTGATGTAATAGACGTGTTTCAGGTTACGGTTGTTATGCACCTTACGCGTTCTCTTTTCATTTTATCATTTCATTTTACTTTCGATGATGTCATAGGTTTACATAATCTTTATATTTTATTATATATATTCTTTGTTAGAGGGTTATGTTTCTATTCTTCTTCATCGAAACAATTCGTTAATACAAATCACCATTGTTTTTAAGATATAGACTTTTCGTTAGAGTTCTAGTTCTAAAAACATAAGCTTAGGAAGACTCTTCAGAGAATCCGGATTCTTATAACTTCGTAGTTATAGGGATTCTTGAATACAAGCTTGGCCATTACACCTGAGCCGCAGTCTCCCGTAGTGTAGGCGAGGTGCAAATGCCAAGCGAGTTATAACAAAAAGCTCAGGCGTGGTATAGCGTGGTAATTTTTCAAGACCTTTTTCGTCACCGGTGTTTTGTAACGGGTTACGTCACGGGACCCTTTCTATTGGACCCGATCGACAAGTGTGCGCTGTGCGGGTACGATTTGAATTCAGATCGAGATCTTGAAAGCTTTAAAAACCACAATTCAATCTCAACACAATCTCAATCCTTCATTCCTTTTCTTCAAGTTTTACTTTTTCAAGATGATCTTAACTTCATATTTACCGACTACTAGATTAAATAATCTGAACAAAAATCAATTAGTCGAATTATTAACGTTGACTTCATTAAAAAGTGTAAGTGATCTGATTCAAAAAGACCATTCATCCTCAAAGCTGATCAATCTTGTTTTTCTATTCTTGTCATAGGCAGTCTTTTGGTATGTTATCTGGAATGCTTCAATCAAATCTTTTCGCCATTTACGTAGTCGTGGTCTTAGAACGACTATCATGGAACTTCATACTCAAGTTTTAACTGTAAAGCATTTTAAATTTCTCAATACCAATCAAATTTTGTAAGCTTATCTGATGTTTTGTTCACATTTTCGTTGGGTTCTTCAATAGATTGGTTTCAATTTATTACTCAAGATTCCTTCAATGAAAGAAAAAGTTAATAGTCAGCTTGATCAAGCTTCAATTGATATCGAAAACAAATTATCACCCAAAGATTCGAAAGTGATTAAATATTCATCATTACCAGATCAAGGTAAATCATCAGATTGGATTAAAAACGAACTTCAAACATTAGCTTCATTACCTTCAACAGAATGGCGTCAAGGAAAGGTTTCAGGTGCAATTTATCATGGTGGAATCGAATTAGAAGAAGTGATTGGTCTGGCTTTTAATCAATATATGATTAGTAATCCTTTACATCCGGATATCTTTCCTGGTGTAAGAAAGATGGAAGCTGAAATCGTTAAAATGGTCCTCGAGCTTTATAATGCTCCTCTTAATCAAGGAGCAGGTACTACTACAAGTGGTGGTACTGAATCAATCTTGATGGCTTGTAAAACTTATCGAGATTGGGCTCGTGATGTCAAAGGTATCACTGAACCTGAGATGGTGATTCCTATTAGCGCTCATGCTGCATTTGATAAAGCTGGAGATTATTTTGGTATCAAAGTTCATCATATTGCAGTGGATCCTAAGTCTAGAAAGGTTAATGTTGCTCGAGTTAAACGTGCTATCAACTCTAATACAATCATGGTAAGTCGTCTGATTTCGTCTTGATCTTTCCAAGTTTTGATCTGATAATCTTGACTGATTTGCTTCTCTTCACACTAATCTCAATTCTACCTCAGTTGGTCGGATCTGCACCGAATTTCCCAGATGGTGCAATTGATGATATCGTAGGCTTAGGAAAATTGGCCAAGAGATACAACATTGGGTTACATGTAGACTGTTGTCTAGGCTCATTCTTAGTTCCATTTGTCGAAAAATGTGGTTTCCCAATGGATCCATTTGATTTCCGAGTTGAAGGTGTCACTTCAATCTCATGTGATACACATAAGGTTTATCTCTTTTATCTTTTGAATCTTTTCCTTTTTCTCTTCTATGACACTTGTCTGATCCTCGCTTTGACTTCTTTCTCGAACACAGTACGGATTTGCGCCCAAAGGAAGTAGTGTGATCATGTGTGAGTGATGTTTTGGTCCCATGAAGCAAGTCCAATTTAGCTAATTTGATCTCCATCCCGATGTCATCAACAGATCGCAGTTCGACATGGAGAAAATACCAATACTCTGTCTTGACCACTTGGCCAGGCGGTGTCTATGGTACAGCACATTCCTGATCCCAAAACTTTATAGGCCATTATTGATCTTTGAATTTGCAAACTTTAGCTTCTCCCTCAATCGCTGGATCTCGACCTGGAGCTCTCATTGCCGGTACATGGGCCGCAGTGATGTATATGGGAAAAGAAGGATATCAACAAAGTTGTTTAGAAATCGTTGGAGCGGCTAAGAAGCTTGAAAAAGCTATTCGAAATGAGATTCCAGAATTAGAAGTGCTTGGTAATCCATTGGTTTCAGTAGTCGCTTTCAAAACTAAAGAAGATAGTCATGTGAATATTTATTCACTTGGTGATCATCTTGGTAGTAAAGGCTGGCATCGTTAGTTTTTTTTTCATTTTCTTGAAGCTTTGGTTAAGATGTCTAATCTTTCTGTTTGTCTCTAGTTAACGCTTTGCAGAACCCTGCAGCCTTGCATATCGCTTGTACACGACCAACGGTTAACGCTGTTGATCACTTGATCAATGATTTGAAAGAAGCTATTCAAGAGGTCAAAGCTAGTTCTGAAGAATCCAAAGGTGATATGGTCACTTTATATGGTAAGGATCTCTCAGTTGAATCTCTACTAAATTTCTTAAAAAATATGAAACTAAACCAAATGGACGTTTTACTAATAGGTTTAGGTAGTTCTAGTGCAATTGGACCAGGTTTAGTAGCTGATCTTGCAAAGAGATACTTGGACGCTTTATACACTGCTTGCATAACCTTTTTCTTTCTCTTTTTCTTTTAGCGCAATTCACTTCTCATTTTCATTCTATAAATGTTAATTAAAAATCTTTAGACTTTTTGTTTGATGGATCTATCAATTTAACATTCTCTCGATGGTCATTTTTTCCTTTTCGTTAACTTTTGCTATCGCAAAGAGAGTTTGTCACATACACAATTTGAGTTTGATTTTAGATTCATGTTTCAAACAACCAAAAATCGATGAAATTTATCGTAATAGTGCCAAGATTTGTGACTCCCAATCTTCTTGAACTGGAAGGCAGAAAGATCTCTCAAGAGTGAAAACCCAATCAAATGCTCATAGTCTTTTTTCGTATACTCTCATGTTTGATACGTTCTCATGGAATCCCGTGATACCGTATCTTACTCTGAGCTTAAAGATCTACATCAAACTCCACAAGTATATCATTCCTAATACATAGGTGAACAATCCCAGCAATAATGAAACGTTACACTGTAATCCTTCTCCTGTGTTCAAATGAAACAACAAAAATCATTCTCGCAAAACTGACTAAAAACTTCTCCTGCATAACGTTTCTTCAGAAAATTTACCCTTTGCTTGTTGCCCATAACGGAACAAAGTGACAACTTTGTTCCAAAAGATGTCCACATCTCCTCAACCTTACCTGCTAAGATAAACATCCAAACTCAAACCCCTTGAATCGAATCCACAATTCTTTCATCTCTCTCTATATAAACCAACAAAAAACCCTTTTCAAAGATTCTTAAAACCATATGCACTAATTCTTGGATCAATCAAATACCTAAACTTATAAATTACTTCATCATAATTAAATACCAATAAGATTCAAGACTCAAAAGTCAAAAGCCAAAACCAAAACCGAAAAAGAAAAACCCCACAAAATATATTATAATAAGATTGAAAAGAAAAAGAAAACCAAAGGAAAACCACACACACACACTTTTTTCAAAAAAAAATACAACAAACATATAATGTATTTTCATTATGACACCAAAAACCAAAAACAGAAAAAGTAAAAGAAAACCTTCATCTGAATCTAAACTGCTTTTTTTTTCTTCATTCTTATTTACAATTTTTAAAACAACAACAACAACAACCAAAAAAAAATACATAAAAATGTGTCATTAAATAAAACACTCGAGAAAAAAAAAACACTTGAAAGAAAAAATAGTGAATGTAAAGCAATGAAATCAAACAAAAAACACAAAACAAAAACATAAGAATGTATAAATGTTAATGAAAGATAAAGAAACACACACACATATGTTTATCTAAACACACACTTCTAGTTTCACTTACAAACAAATTACCAATCATTTCGTTTTCTCTACATCTCTTTTCGTTCTGCTTTCTCTTTGATGATGATGATGATGATGATGGAAAAAGGAAAAAAAGAAAGACTTAATCTTGAAAAAAACAAAATCCACTCAAAGAAATAAATAAATAAATACCCAAATCGATTGAAAAAAAAAATAACAAAGAAAAATCTATTTTTCAAAAACCAGAAAGATGAACTTATATATATGCTATAAAATAAGAAAGAGAAAATGATCTTCAAAGATTAAAGCCCAAGCCCTAATCCTCCACCACTACCAGATTGTGTGATTCGATGTCTTCCAACCGCTCCTGCTCCTCCTCTACCGTTACCTGCAATTCCAAGATCAAGGGATTGAGCACGAGCACTTAATCTACGAATCTGTTCTGAAATTTGTTGTTGTTGAATCCTAGCAGCTGTTTCAGATCTCTCATTATTAATCTGAATAAAACAAACACACAAACATGTGATTAGCACAGAAAAATCAAAAAACATCATTTACATCAAGTCACTCACAACCATCTGACGAGGTATAGTATGATGCCAATCAGGACCTACACTACCAACTGCACCCAATCCACCTGACACTCCATAAACAGGAGGATTATGGTTATAAATCCTACCAACCGGCTTAGGAAGGATCGTATTAGATGGAGTTCCGTATCCACCGTAATGTAAACCAGGATTATCGAATGGTTTAAAGTCTTGATGATGTCCTCCAAGATGATGAGCAGTCGTTTGGCTTGGTCCAAGAGGGAATAACACATCCGTAGGAGTAGGAGGAGTCGGAAAAGCAGATAAAGAGTATGAACTGGAAGTAGTCCGGCTTCTGTTTCTGACATACCTTCCTCCTATGACCTCGGGCGAAGCTGATTCGGCTCTAATCTGAACCTAATGATGTAGGAAAAAACAATGATCAGTCAAGTTCGCTTCAGAGATCCCTTTCGAGAAACTAACCTTTCGGTCCACTAAAAACTTTTCCAATCTGGCCTTGGCGTTTCTCAACCACTCTACATTGACACCACCACCACCAGTCGAAGAATTGAGACCCAAGATACTAAACTTGATAATCACCTCTTCACCTTGACTGATAACTCGAACATTCACATTCTTACAAGCTTCAATGACATCCCTTTTGAAATCTTCAGATCGAATCGCCTTCATCAAATCTTCAGAAACAGGTAATCTACGTTCACTTTCTAAACCCACATGAATCAATATCATTTGAATAGCTAATTGAAGTTGAGTCTCAGGTCCAAAGATTTCAATGTGTTCAATTCCCGATTCACTAGAAGGAAAATAAAATCGAGTACCAGTCTTGGTTTCAATATCGTGTAAAAAGATTCCCTTTTCTCCCAATAGGGTACGATGCGATTGTCGTGGGATCGAAATCTTTTCAGTAATATAATTCTTATCTTTCGGATGAACAAGCTCCATGACAGATTGCTTGAGATTCTCAAGGTTTGAGGCATTCTTGGCAGGAGTGCTAAATAAATCAAACAGAGAAATCAGCCAAACTAGCCAAAACCATCCATCAAGTATCTTCACTTACCGTGCAATCACATTATCATGGTTATCCACATATCCACCCAAGTTATTGAATTCATCAGCATTTGAAAACTTTACATAAACTCCATACTTCTTCATAATCCTTTGAATGTTTTTCCCTCCCACACCAATAATTCGTTTATGGTAGGATTCAGGGATATGAAACGAAATCTCAGCCGGAAGTTCTTCTTGAAGCAATTTAAGTCCAGCAAGAGCAGCCGTAGAGCTACCCGAGAGATCAATCAAAAAGTTGTAATCGTTAAAAGATTCAAACTTGATCTTCACATTTGATCCCTTCATGATCTTGTTGAGCTATAAGAAAAAATCACCACTGTCAGTCTAAATCGTTTGAAAAGCTGATTCCAAACCTTGCTCACCTTTCCATTCTTTTTACCAGAGATAAAGTCTCGATGTTCACAAGCAAGTTCAACTTGAAAACGTATCTCAGCTTGGAAAGGTTTCACCAGATCCAAATCAAGTAAACGATTGACAGCACCAGTCACTTCAACCTCCGTTCCATAAACTTCAAAACTATTGGTACCTTTAAAAACTACTTCGGCTCCCGTATCAGCTGCAATAATGTTCAAAGCTCGCGTGACCTCGTTTTGATTCAGAGCATCAGACCCGGCGGTACTCGAGAAAAAGTCATTATAAGACGTAGACAAAAGCCAAATGTTGGCAGTATAAAATTCGCATGCCTATGAAAATAACATCCATATATAAGTTTCGAAAGACCAAGAAAAAGAAATGATGGAAGAATTCAAACTGACCAATTGCATCAACATTCGAATTGAACGTTCAATAGGAATCACATTATCACCATAAACCGAGATCACACTGATTTGACTTCCAATAGGAGGAAAGTTAATAAATGTACCATTATCATTCATGATACGTTTAATCTCTTCTAATTTTTCCATCAAGATCCAATCTAATTTCCTAGGTAAAAGTGCGGTATCTCTCGAGATGATACATTTACTCTACAGAAATTTTTCAAAAACCAATCAACCAATCAGAAAGATATCAAAAGATTAAATTGAGCAAATCACAAACCTTGTGTAATGAGACTTGGAATAACATTTCTCTAGCACGTTGAACTCCAAAGTATTCACCAGTAATAAAAATCATATTTTGCTTAGAAATCAAAAGTGGATTACGTGTACCCAAGATACCTCCACCTGAAAGTGCAGATGGAAAGTAAATGTTGGTACAGGTTTCTTCTTGAATTGATTGAATCACCATTCGTTTTCGACCGGCAATGATATGATGTAACTTGTAATCAATCTCACATACATCAGAATGTAATGAAATCTATACGGAAAAAAACATATCAATCAACATGATTTCTTGTAATCGGAAACTAAAACTGAGTTTGACTTACCAATTGATCAAATAACACCAAAAGTCGAACTCTAGCTTGTTCCACCGCTTCATATTCACCTCGAATCACTACATCCACCTCACCAATCCCACCATCACTACCGACAATAGAAAGATGAGCTCGAGTGACAGAGGCAATTTCATCCAATTTGCGTTTCATCTGAGGTCTAACAGTAGTACCACCTTCCAAAATATCAGTTCGGCTCATTCGAACCACCCTCTTAACTTCAAATGGGTTCTCTCTCAATAATCTACCACGAGCCATCATGACTTGAGACTGAGCGCCAGAGAGATGAAACGTATAAGCCGAAGGCGTGGTTGATTTGTTCGAGTTAGGTTGATGACAGGTGATGAGACATGGATGTTGTGACATGAGATCTACACAAGTGCGAGAAATAGTTTCGATTGAAGGTAATGGCGAATCAGAGGATGAAAGGTTGAGGTTTGAATGATGAGAAGATGAGGTATGATTAGAAGTCGTTGAAGTAGGAGGAGTATTGTTGATAATCGAATTGGTAGGTGAATGTTGTTGAGGATGAGAAGGTAAACAAGATGGGATTCTAGAGACGAGAGGCGTGGAGGTCGGTAATTCATGATCGGTTGAATCCTCTAGAGAGTTATTTGAATGTGAAGTGGTTGATCGATTGTTGTTGTTGTTGTTGTTGTTGTTAGAATGAGTGTGATTGATGTTAGTAGAGTTTTGATGAATTGAATGAATTGATGAAGTTGAATTATGACTAGTTAACAATGATTGATGAGATGCTGATGAGATGCTTTGATTGCGATGTTGTGATTGTGGTGGTTGTTGTTGTTGTTGTTGTTGTTGTGCTGATGGTTGATGATGAAATGGACGTGGTAAAGTGAAAGAAGAAGAATAGAAATCCATGATGAATTGTAAGATGATGATGAACTTGAAGTGAGTCGAGGTGAGTCTGAGTGGTGGTGGTGGTGGTGATGCTGGTTTGTGTCTTCGAGTGGCAAATTCAGTCAAAACTCAATTTCAATTCAAATCAATCAAAAATGGTAAAAATTATTAAACTATCAATTCAAATTCAATCAATTCAAGATTCACTGGGATCTGGATGGCCAGGTGGATGATGGTGATCTTGGATAATCTAAGCAAATATCTAGTTTGGAATCAGTTTCTGCCATAAAAAAAACACTTCAAGGAGAAAGACAACATACAAACCGATAAGATGGATGTCGATTTGAAGCAATTTGATTTGAATGTTGATTTAATATCGGGTGGTGATTGATGATAGAGAGTGTTTCTTTGGGAATCACTTTAAGTTGAGTTGAATGTGTTGGTAAACTTAATGGTAAGTTGAATTAGATTGGAATCATTGACTTTCTCTTTGAATGTGAAGATTGATGGATTGGATAGAAAGTAGATCGCTCAATCACTTTATAAGAAAAGAGAAACAATCAGATCAGGAAGAGATGATATAGAATTAGTTAACTTTCTGATATCTTGATATAATAATAATAATAGGATAACTAAATTAAATTAAATCAAAATTGAGAAATCGGAAATGGGAATAAGATGATGAAGATGATGAGATGATTGATATAATTGATTGGATGTTTTCTTTCTGAATTCTGAAACGAAGCAAAGAGAGAGTACTAACGCTTTAAAGCAATCAAATTATTATATATATAGTCTTTTTGGTGAATTGGATGACTAGAGTGTTTTAAAAATTAATTAGGTAATTCAACTGCATGAATGTTTCTCAAAGAGTGATGGACAGGATCAAAGATGGACCAGTGAGTACCTATATTCAACGGTACGGTTCTTGAATAATAACTAACTTGATCACTCTCTCTCTCTCTCTCTCTCTCTTGGAGTCGTACCTTAATTTAATTTTAATCAGAATCCAAAAAAAAAAAACATACACACACATCATCATCATCATCAGAAACATAAACAAATGCAAAGTCAACTTCAAATTATACAATACTTCCAAAAGATAACAAACACTTACACGATTTCAATCCTTAGAAATTCAAAAACAAACAACTAATGATCGACTTGTTGCCTTTTTCTGCTTTGGACTTGGTTGATGTTCAATCGGGGTGTGTTTTTTTGCGATTTTGTAAATTAAACAAATTCAGGTGATAAACAATATAAGAAATCGTATATAAGAGTATAAAAGTAGATATGGATGAAGTTTAAGGGAATCGAGATTGGAAGAGGGCTGTTAGTAGCAATGCAAGTGGTTAAAGGTTTGAATGTTTTGTTGAGATATGAAGGACTGAGCGATTAGTTTTGAATTGAATGATGAATGACACTTTATATTCTAAATCCAGTCACCATCACACTTGAAGTCTTGAGATCGATAAACTTCTTCACAAGATCAATGACGTAAGTTTACAAAGATCATGATCTTCACAAGAAAAAAAAAACAAATACCAGAAACACACACACACACATAGAAAGAATGAAGGAATAAAATATGTAAAAGCTCGGAATGATAAGACAAAAAAGAGCCTAATGAATAGTACCAAAAAAGAGGTTAATCATTAAAAGATTCGATTCTATATCTATCAAAAGCGGTGTGGTACTCTGTTCTTGATCAGAAATTTAGGCGCTTCCGCGGGGGTCTTCCAACCGCGAACCCCGACAGAAGTTCACTGGTTGAGATTCTTAAATTAAACAAAACCTCAAATCATCTTCATTGGTATCTTGATTTCAATCTTCATCGGTTTTACGTATTCAATTTCATCTTTCCAATCGAAATCAAGCCGCTGAAACCTTTCAGAAAACTATCTACAATCAAAATCATAAACCATCATCAAATACCATCAAATGCCTTTAATCAGATCTTCATATATTGATATATTTTGTCACTATTGAATAAGCTTCATCACGTCTCCGTCAAGTAAATCCACGGTACATCATCAAGAGAACAGCATACGTCGATCCAAGAAACCTTCACTAGATTCTCGCGCCAAGGTACTTGGGTTTTGCGGGTAAACTCACTGAAGCTTCTCTGAATCAGCTGTGATACCTTCACCCCAGACGATTTACAAGCGGTCAAGAGATTCAAAGCTAGTCAAACTATTTGGTTCAATTAGTGGATCATTTACAAATTCTTTCAATCTTGATGAATTCTTTCTTCGAAAAAAGAAAAATCATAGACTAACCCCATTGGGAATGAGAATTCTTTACAACGAAATCAAATCATCAACATTGAACTTTCCCAAAGGATTATACGACTTTTTCTTTTAAAATTAGTTGGATTATCATTGTCAGTTGTAATCTTTCTTAATCCCATTCTTTGAAGCAGAAACACACAAATATACATTAATTCTCATCGAATTCATCGTTTCATTTTCCAAAAAAAACACTTCATTCTTTGATACATTCAACGATTCCTCAATTCCCAAGTTGATCAATACTAGAAAACCCCAAAATCGTAACCAAATTAGTAAAAAAACACATATAATAACCCAAAGCCGCAATATTTCGGCAAAAAAAATAACTGACCTAAGTTGATCTTCTATTACAGATCTTAACATCCCATCTAAATAAGTTTCCATCCTAATCTTTTCAACTTGGTTTTGGCCTTTAGTCTTGGAAAGTTTAATCTTATTTAAAATCTTAGAATGTGCCAATAAAGGTAACCTTCTTAAACTTCTACCTGACATACCCTATATCATAAGAGAAAAAATACACAAATCAGTTGTTATTTAAAGAACGGTTGGTCATCATTTGGAATTTGAATCAAGAACATCGTTTGAATAGCTTACTTTAGCTTTTTCTGAAATTTTTAATAATTTCATAGAACATCTCAATGAACTACTCTTGACCTTTTCATTCAATTCACTTGGCTCAATCTCTTCACGTTCTCCAAATTCTTCACGACGCAAAATCACTTCTTTATAATCAATTAAAGTCTATTTCAATTTAAACCCAATCAATTTCGTTTCCAATTCTAAGAACAATGATTGAACCTTTGAAATGTAAAACTTACTTTAGGTTTCAAGATTCCTACTTTAATCAATTCATTTAAACAAGTACGTAAGATCCAATAGATAGCTTCAATAGGTGGTAAACCAATATATTGTTTAAGATCCGCTCGATCCATGAATGCATCATCTATTATTTGATAAGATATCAGCAAAATTGATCAATTTAGCCTACTTAAGAGCCTGAAAAGTGACATATCATCCACAACTCGCCTATTGAGCCAGTTAGATTTGAAGTGGTTAGTATCAATACATTTCTTCTGTGTTTGAGTTTATCCAACTCTGTTAATAATGCATTAACTGCCTAAAGGTAAAGAAAATCGTCATCAAGTTTAATCAAAATAAAGAATATAAAATATCAAGTTCATCTCAAAAACTTACTCTTAACGCATCACTTGGTTCATTCCCAGAAGTACCTGTAGATCTAGACCCAGCAAGACTTTCCACCTCATCTACCAAAACCGACCCCGAAAACAAAATCAACTTGTGTAATGTTGAAAGAGTTTGAGACGAAATCAAATTTACCTATTAATACAATCACAAACATATCATCATCCTCTAACATTTCACTAATTTTTAAAAATAAACTTTGAACTAGTTTTCCACTTTCAGAAAACCATTTAGAAAATAATGAATGAGAGTTGATTTCGATCAATTCGGTTTTTTGATACCTATCCATCCAAAAAAGATCAACCCAACCATCATTCGTCAGTTTTAAGAAAAATGAAAAGTTGAATAAGAAAAAGATTTATCCTCACAGATATGAAAGTCGAATTGAGATTTTTTGAGAAAGTGATCTACATAATGAAGTTTTTCCTGTTCCTGGTGGTCCATGTAATAAAATCAATCTATGCCATGCAATTAAAGCTTGATTGACATTTCGTTCTGCAAATATTATAGAAGAATATCTACCAAGAGTAAAATTTAAAAAACGAAATCAAAAGGTTAGTATCACACCAAACCTCAATCTTAGTTTTTGTTTCTTTAAGCTAAACCAAGTTTGGTCAAGAAGAAAGTAAATCAAAATAAAAATCTGAAACTCAACATATAATTCAATAATTTAATTTTCAATCCATCTTCATAAATCAAACTTTCCCAAATACCTTCTAATCGATGAGCAGGTAATTCAAGTTTAGAAGCAGCCACATCTCCATCCTGAATACCATCATGTGATTCATCATCTAAATTTGATGATGGGTTTTGGAAATCAGATGATGAGATTTCAGTGGGATTAGCTGACATGATCGAAACCTTATCTTCGCCTTCTAATGGAATCTCATAAATATGAATATGTAATTTGACTTCTTGTAATGGTACTAATCTTGATGGATGGGCTGTAAAGAATAAATCAATCAGATTGATTCTCTGTAACGATTGGAATTTGATTTGATTGATTGTGTTCTTAAAAACTTACCTGATTCTGCACAATATACATGATCTACTTCATCTTCTAAAAATTTTATATCTGCCCAACCTGGAATAGTAGCATGAGTTTCTAAACAAGCAAAACTAATCCAACCAAATCAAAATCATTCAAAGGTAATCAATCTCAGTATCATTCAAAACCTTCAGAAATTGAATGGGATTTTTGGTTTTGGAAAACTTACTTATCAATTATATAATTTCCAATAGATTGTCGAGCAGTATCATACAAAATAGTAGAACCTGGCTTTAATCTAACTTCAACTATCATTCATCTCAATTTGTTTTTGTATATAACACACCCCGCACCCGCCAAATTTAAAAATGTTGAATAAGTTTCTGTCATCCAAACCCAAAAGATAAACAAAATCCATTATCTGTATGAAAGAGGTTGATTGATTTGTTAACTGACTATGTAAATCGAATTGAATTTGATCGTCTGTTTCACTTTCACTTTCACTTTCATCATCATCTTGATTTATGGGTGATTTTGATCGTTGTTGATTTGATGGTAAATCAGTTTGATGTTGAGTTTCATTGATATCTCTTTTTCTTTTGGTATATGTATTATTATTTTCATTTTGTGAATCATCTTGTTGAAGTTGGATTGAGTTTTGATTTGTTAATTTTGAAGTTGATGGTGGTGAAGGTGCTATTAAGATCACATTATTTGACATTTTGATTTGATTGATTGATGAATTGGTTTGCAATGTATGCTAAAGTAAAATGGTCAAGTTGACTTTCTTTCTAGATCACTTCAGCACTTCTTAAGTTCTTCATCACTTTCTTTCGAAAAAACCGATTGCTTGGTCTAGCCCCCGGTACCGCGGGCTAGATTGAGATCCGGCCAAGGGGCATCCAATCAATCAGCTCGGACTCAAGGCCGCATATCGTCTGAATGTCATTTATCAATTTGTTCTTGAGCAGACACTCGCACTTCTCGACATATTAGTTTGAAGTCAGAGATGATGACCTTCTCTTACTGTTAACTGTGATCAATGCACATCTCTCATACATACTTGATGACTCACAAACCAACCAGACAACAAAACTCTAATCAAGATCAACATCGACATTCTATTCATAAAAGAAATCTTTTTTTCTCAATACAAACATTAAAAGCATTCTTTAGTTAAAAGAGAGATAGACAATCAAAATCAAATCTTGCTTTCCAAGAAAAAAAAGAAATTACAAACATAAAAAAAAACTATCACTAAAAAATGTTCATAAGAATTTTGTTTTTTCTATTTAATTTTTGTTTTTTTCAATATTTTTTTTTGTATCAAAGTAATAAATTGAGGGGAAGAGGGATTTTGCTTAACTTGACATCTCACACAGCACATCGTAACCAGGAGCACACGCACAAAAAAAAAGTAATCATACACATAATTCTTCACACGAAAAGACTCAAGAACGACAAGTTACAGATAAAGAAAGAAGAAACTATTTGATGAGCAATATTAAAATGTTTATAAGATTTGGTACTAAGACCAATATATTTTCTATCCGAACCTTTGAGTTCACAATTTTAGTGCTTCAGGAATTCTCAAAAGAGATCTGACTCTTTCCATTCAGGTTTTGATTTCTCGATGTTCTCAAAATAACCACCCTAAAAACAATGAAATCCACAAAAAGAAAGTCAAGAAGATTGGTCAACAGAGAGTCATTTGAAGTTGATATACGTCCAAAATAAACCACAAACTCGATAAATCCAATGTTCAGATCCCGGTGACTTTTCAAACCAAAACGGTACATGGTCTGCTTTCTTTCGTCGCTCCCGTTGACGTTCTTCTAGTCGCTCTTTCAAGACTTCAGCTTCGTCCATCTTTCCTTCTTCCATCAGACGTTGATCAGGTCTTAACCTTGAGTCTGTTGGTGCTAATCTTGATTTTGGTCTCAAATCTTCTGTGATTTCATTCAATTCAATTGCGAATTTACTGAAGCCATAATAATCCGATGCACGCTCAGGCATTGGATTGGCTTCAAACACCAACTCATCTGTGTCTGATCGTACTAATTCGCTATCCCATTTTCCTACCACAGTCGCTTGTACTTCACCATCGCCATCCATGACTTTGATTTCTACCTTATTTCGAGATCCTTCACCCCCAAAGGTCGTTCCTGGCTTGAATTCGATTGTGGCTTTTTCTGGCCCGAGGTCATTTGATACCGTTACTTTGCCAATATGTTCAAGATATTTGGTACCGGACATCAAATTGCGCCTAAACATTATGACCGCACAAGCCGTCAGTTTACGAAGCTGATATTTTATAAACTTGTCTGTACACATCTAGACCAGTAAGGTAATCGAGGATACAATCATAGTACGATAAAAGAAAGGCTTACACAAACGAGCTAGGCTTATCCCAATGGAAGACACCTGACGGCTCACCGCTGGTAGCACCACCCTCATAAATTGTCAATCGATTGAGTCCCTCACGTATGACTTCTAATGACTTGCCCCAAAACTTTTGACGAATGGATGAAGTGAGTTCAAATTTCCAACCGTCACCTTCAGCGTATGCTGCCACTGTTCAATTGATGCCACCAAATCTTCATCAGTAATGTATTCCAAGTATAAAACAAAGAAAATAATCCACTCAACTGATGGGAGGATGATGTGAGACTTTTTCAGAGACATACTTCATTCCTTTATCTGGTCTCACACATTCATAAGTCTCACCTAAAATCGGATTACTTCATGCGGTGGAACCAACTGATTAGTATTAGCAAGATTATATGCCATGTAATGAATCGGACGAACAATGGTTTCCGCGTTGCGCGAGTTTTAGTAGCACAAAACGCACTGACAGCAAAAGCGGAGACGAATACGAGGCGTTCGATCGGATCGGAGCTCGCCACAGCTCTGGTGACTAACATATCCGAGTACTCGACCTCTTCACAGAGTTTTTGTAAGGCTGACAAGGGCTCGTTGAATGAGATGGGAAACGATACTTGTGAAAGATCCTACAGTGATGGGGCAACCCCGTCAATACCATATGACGTGGAAACACATGGTAACGGAGAATTTACTCACTTTGCCTACGTTCTTCCTCAACATTGCAAACACACTGAATTCGTCTCCTGAGACTTTCGCTGGGAGTCGCGTGCGTCTCTGTACGTGCTGTGTGGTCAATGCTACCGATGGTCGGTGGTGGTGACGATGACGTTGTGCAAGTTGAAGAGGCTGGGAGTTGACGAGACTCTTCACCGTATGGACACTGTCAGTTCTCCGGTGACTCGGCTCATCGGCCTCACTTGACGAGTCCGTCTCTGAGTCATCACTGCTGATTGCACCGCCATGACCACTGGTTCCAAATGACTCGAATTCGGTCTCCTCCGCATGTCCCGGGTGAATGGCATCTAGATCTACAAATCCACCCTCTTCCGAGGCTGCGTCATGGAAGGTGAGGTCGCTCTCAGTGTCGTTGCTATCTGACTTTGCGTCGAGGTCAGGACATGGACTCGGTTTGCGCTCATTTGGGCTGACACTACCACCACCGTTTCGCTGAATACTCAGGGATCGGTTTGGTGGTTTAGCGGAAGTAGCTGTCAGACCCGATTGTGAGGGTACAGGAGGTGCAGGACCAGACTTGATAAAGGTGTCCGAACCCTGACGAGGAATAGGTGGTGTGGTCAAAGAGAGAGTTGATTGATTCTTGATGGAAGTAGAATGTGCATTGAGAAGGTCGACAAGGCCAAGGTGCACTGCCCTGAGCTCGCTCAAGGCATCGGTGATAGTCTTCATCAGTTTGGGCCCATCATGAGGGGATTGATGGCTGTGATGGCGGAACAAATGAGGTTTCTTTCCTTTAGGTGTTGATGAATTGGGAGAGATGTTGGAATAGTTGACGATAGCGACACTCGCTGCAGAGTCAGAGAATGGAGGAGATGCGTTCTCCGGATGGGCGAGTAAGAAATCGCGTAAGGGAGCTTGTATAGATTCGAGGGCTACGAGGGGCTACAGTATAAATAACATTCGCCGCAAGGTGAGACGTTAGATATAGTCACGATCAATGGAAGATAAAACAAAGACTAACAGCTTGCATCTTAGATACCGAATGATAGATTGTAGACATATCGAGTGGCCTCAAAGCATTGAGATCCGCAAAATTGAGACCAAGTCCGAGGCAAGGTCCACCACTTGACTCTGAGCCTTTAGTCTTTTTCGCTGCTTTTCGACGTCTTTGTCGACGCTCATGTTCTTTGACGCCGCCGTTGGTGACGAGAGACTTTAAGATGTTTGTCCAGCGTACAAAGTCAGAGTCCGAAAGAGTTTTGATGTGCATGACCAGTGAGCCACCGGAATCGATATGAATTGACTTTGAACGCCGAGAGATTGAGATTGATGCAAGACTGATATACACTGAATCCCTGATTCTTGACTGAGGTGAAAAAGAGTATGAGAGGGTAGCAGGTTGATCGGTGAGGTAGAAATATCGCCTCGCAAATCCTGTGGGTAATGAACGAAAGAGACAGTCAGACCGAGGCAGCAACAAACCGTGTTAGTGGGATTATTCAACCTTGCATTTTCTTGCGCTTTTTCTTCAACATCCTAAATCAGAGTGAAGAAAGAATGGGGTCAGTAGATTGAACAAGATCTACATAGAGAGAGAGAAAGAGACTGACCATCCTTCAAGAATTGGTTGACCGATAAGAGAATTTGGCTCAGGTGGTGATGAGTTTGAATTCATGTTGATTTGTGAAGTGGATCGATAGTTTGATGAGGTTTTGAGATTGAGAGAGACTTGATGTGGAATTGGGTAGTAAATCGATTTTTGACTTTTAATTCGAATCAAAATTAAAAGTGATAGGTCTTCACCAAATCACATCGATACCAATCTACCGAGAAAGTAAACTCCTATTGAATAAATAATCTGAACATTGGATGGGTCCTGCAATTCATCAGCCGCTATCCGTTAGCGGCTACTACACTGTGTAACAAGGACGGTCACGGTACCATCTACCCCGCAGCTTGTTGTCTGACACTCTGTCGTCCAAAATGTGAATACGTGTGACATCTGTACGCAATCACAACCATCAGATGATTGGCCTTAATTTTCCATTTGATTCAACCTTCCTTTACCCCCTCCCGCTGGCGTTATATCCCTAGAGCTCTAGGCGGGATGCACCAAAAATATGATGATGAATTTTCGTCCGAAATCCAATTTGTCGCTTTGGACCGTGAGTCTCCAGGATTTGAAATCTGGAGTTTGACAGTGATCTTCAAATTGGTCCGCCAAGATCTGTGACGCTTTTGTTTTCACAAAAGATGGATCCAAAGCGCTTCGGCAATCCGAGAAGCTTGCGAGAAGCTCGCGAAGCGGGGCGTGGTGGACTCTTTTGCCTGCTTGCATTTTGCCAAAGTGACAAAGCTGAGGAGATAGCAGGCACGCGTAAATACGGCTGTTGAGGCTTCATGAGGAGGACAGTTGAAGGGAGTGTTCTCTTCAAGTTTGTCTTCGTCAGTTTTATGATCAGTTCAGATGGCCAATCAACAATAAAATCAAAACTTTTAGTATTATCAATGAACATTGTGTGAAGAGGAGCTCTTATTAAATATTAAATTCACCACAACTCTCACACTCAAACATTTATTAAAGCAAATTTATCAATCATTTACTTTACTATTACTTTATTTGCTCTTTCTTTCAGAAGAAAGAAATCAAATTTTGGTTATTTCAATCATAGTTTGAGTGTGTGTTTTGGGTTTAGAAATTAAGAGAACAAATAAAAAAAATAGAAAACAGAACACTTTAAGAAGCAAGGTTTAAATTAATACAAGATGAGGATCGGACGCGAGAAGACATAGAGAGACTTAGTGAGAATAAAGAGTAAAGAAGATGTGAATAGATATTGTCAGTTGAATTAAAAGAGAGGTTATTAGTGATTAGCTATGATTATGGCAAGATTCACTGAATCAATCAATTACAGATTGAAGTGAAGAGTGTTGAAAGAATTGAATGAGCACGATTGATCGAAAACAGTGCGAGTGATCAAGTTGAAGAAAGAAGAGAAGTCGGACAGAATTATGGTCAATATAGTAGCTGATTCAGTCTGGATTATGGGTTATGGAAGGTTCAAATTTGCAAACATGTTAGAATACAACTTTATCACATCTTGATTCTTTACAGCCCATTGGAGAATGGTTGCTTTTTTTGAAAAGTGCATCATGGTGGCAGTACAAATCATGGAGACCTATTAAAGAACACTCAGAAAAAAAGGTTGTCACAAATTTGGTTTAGAAAAAGAAGAATAACAATCAAAAATTGAGTAAATACTGTTGCAGAAAAGAAAAGCAACAAGTAAAAGAAATTGCAAGTGAAGACAGTCAAGTAAAAGAAGGATAAAAGCTGCAATGAGAGGTGAGTTTCATGAGGTCAGATGTGGCGATTCTCTTACCAGCTCCCAAAAAACAATGAAGGAGGCAAAAAAAATAAACTTTGAGAGACCACAAGTTAGGAATCCCATCAACGGGCATTGGGATTGAAATGATAATCAAGTCCACCACCAACACCCAACTTGCAGTGCAGACTGCGAGGCACAGCCTGCGCCTGCGCTGTGGCTCAGCGCAGGGGTTTTTGAAAATCTGGTGACTGCGCCTTTTCGCAGCGCGGTGGATGTGTCACTGCCGCATATGTTCTCCAATGGAAAACTGAAAAATGGGCTTTCCATCCGCCAAAAAAACAATTTTTTTACCCACTGCGCTGCGCTGGAGCGCACCGCAGGGGCCTCAAAGATTTTGGGTCACTGCGCCCCAGCGCCGCGCAGTGGGTTTTGGAATTTTAGATTTTTTTGGCGCAGTGCAGTTTTGCGCATTCTGCGCCGTACTGTGCTGACAACGGGTGTTGCCACCACATTGTGTGATTAACTTTATCGACTTTCTTCATCATTTACCAGCTCCCACAAAACACTTTTCAGTCAACTTTACCCACTGTACTAACTACAGCTGGTCCCGTATCAGGAAAACTCCAGAACATGATTTTTATTGACTAAGAATTGGGGTTAGGGTTTGATTAACATAGTGGAATATGGTGACATGGTTGTGAAAGAGAGGACAAGTTGTAAATAAAAATTATGGTATCAATATAGCTATTGGTCTGGGCTGGATTTTTTTCAAGATGATGATGACCTACTCTAGATATGTCTAGCCAACAGAGGAAGAAAACTTTATTCTTGATTCCTCTTCAATCAGTTTCTCTTCACCTTATCCATCTTCCAATCTCTGTACACACCAGTACTAGATAGTGTGTTTGACATATATATTATACAGCTTTGTCAGTTATCTTTTTGACAACATATACAGTCCTATTTCTCACAAATTGGTTTATATTACTGAAATCAATTCTCTGTGTTATCCAACCCTGGGCCAGCAACACAGATGTTGTGTGCTGCACTGCAAGCGTGTTGTGTTTTTTGACTACACTGCACTGCAGATTTAATATCTAGGTTGTGGCCTAACCTGTGGCGCAACAAGTTCCCTGGGATCTCTGTTGTCAACATTTGTTGTGTTGCTTCTCATAAAAAAAAGATTTGGCTTTTTTGGCGCTGTGGCAAATGTTGCATTATGCAAGGGTGAAGGTGCCACACAACCTAGCCCCACTGTTTCTTGTTGTGGCACTGTGCGCAACACAGCATGAGTCACTACATTTTGTTGCTTGTGGTGGTGAAACATAACAAAAAACCCCAATTTTGTGGGGTGGTGTGTTGCTGGCCCAGGGTTGCCTTATTGTGCAAATCATACAGTTACACATAGGTCATGTCCCTTTTGCTTTGTTTCTCCTAAATTTCTTTTCTCCTTCTGAAGTTTTATGTAGTTTGAAATAGCAAATCAAGAATCAAAATGTCACATAAGAACTGTAAAATCTTCTACAGATTTATGCAAACAGGGGAGGCAGCAGCACATATGACATGCATACCCTCCACACAAGTTTTGTCCTTACTGTCCCATTCAACCAACCCAAATTTCATCAGCATTTCTCTGTGTTTGTTATCAAAGCTATTGGGATTGATAGACAGAACAGCATATTCTGTGATTCTGTTGTTTGATGTCTATGTTCAGGGTATTGGCCAATGAGTAGTATACCGTCCAACAAAATTGTTTTTGGCAAGAACCATCAAGTTTGTGATCAGGTTCAGGGCCCAGGGTTACTGGCAAAGGCCTGCATAGGAGAGGTTCTTACAAAGAAGTACTCTGAGGGGTTTCATACCCTACTGCCTGGTATGAAGGTATCACCTCCCTTACTTGGTGCTGATAAAGCACCACAAATATGTGAGTGTGTATAGACATGAGCTGCGGGAAGCCATTGCTGATCAACCGCATCAACAAGGATACGAAATGGGTATTTTTTGATCCATTAATTTCTTTTGCACATAATATGGTGGAGCTTGCTTGCACAGGCGTTCCACTGGTCTTGCGGAACTCAGATGTGCAGAATGCATATTGACTGCTTCCCAAGGCCCTGGCAGTGGCATGGCAGATGCACCAGGTGTTTTGTATCAATCACGTGTTTTACATTGACAGGTGTGCAAACTTTGGTTCCAGTGTGTCTCCTAAGTTGTGTGGTTTCTTTTTCTCGTTGGTTCTATGTATCACCAGGACCCTTTTTAATATTTGTTGTATGAACATTCTGATGGACAGCACTTGGGGTGTGAGCCCAGTAACATCCATGGTTGCTTTTCTTGGTCACTAACCATTGGTCATTACACCACAACAAAGACACACACTCAAGACTAAGGACTTAGACTTATATGTAACTTGTTTCCTTGCTTCCTCTTGCCTGGTTCCTTAGAGATATTGGGACTGATCATGCTGCCTCTACCTTTGGCGCCAGGCTGTGCTTTGTTGGTATTTGAAATCAAAGATCAGGTTGCTTGGGTTCTAGAAAAACCTTTTGTGGTGTCTGACAGTGTCCCGTCCAAATTATCCAGTGAAGGTTCTTCCCAAACCTTACACTTTCGTTCTCTCTTTTGGACAACAAGAAAGCAGACTTAGTTGTGGCTCTCAGGACTTTCACCAACACCAAGTCCAACATGCTTTGTGAATAGCAGTCCATTTTGGGTTGGTTGTTGTGGGGATTGATTCCATTCCCCTATGTTTCTTGGGCCCTTCAATCAGTGTGGTACAAGATATCTGTAAAGATCCACAAGTCCCTTGTGGTTCCTCATAACAAGTCTGTGCCGTGTGACTTTTCTTGGCTAGCAGATACACTGGAGCTGTCCAATGGCAACAGATTTCTTGATCTCTCCATTTGGTCTTTCTCCAAGGCTGACTTTCTTGTGATGGCAGGTGCCTGTCCTAATGGTTTGGGTGCGTGGCTTCCCAACACTGCAGAGGGATTTCATTTTTATTGGGTTTTGCCTTGCAAAGACATCTACTGGGATGAGTTGGTTGTAACCTCCCACACAATTCTCCTTGGTATTGAGTGTGGCACAAACCACATCCTTGTGTGCTCAGAATATTCCAACATGTGTGATTTGTTCCTCTCCCATCAACTGGTGGAAAAGGTTTACAACATGCATTTAGTTCTTTGATTGCAAATTTGGTCAAAGCACAGGTCAATGCCAGGGTCAGTCACCTGCCAGGAAGTAAGAATGTCTTTACAGACACATTATCTCACAGGGAGTTGGACAACTGCAGGGGTCTTGTCAAGGAGGCCATCATTTTCCCTTTATGAGCATTCACCAGCCTTCCTGATGATGGCATCCCCATCCGTCCCTCTTGCCATGACATCCTCC